TAAAAGACTTCAAACTAAACTGTCTTTGTAAGAGAGGCTCAAAAAGTAATGCCAAATCTCACACCCTGTTTCAGTTATGAACATCAATGAAATAAAGGAAAAAATAGATGCTCATTCATTTTCTCTTCTGAACTCTTTTTACTGAACTACTTTGCTTTTCTCCTTTCTTACCATTGCAGTCAAACACTAGGATGTGATGCACTAAAACTGGAAAACATTATTAATGCTTTCAAAGACAAAATGAATGACTACTGAGGAATTAATAGCATTTAAGCCAATATGATTTCGCTAATGGGGCCTAAGTGGCATGTTGAGAATAATACAAGAGCAAAGTTAAAATGGGCACAGGAGCTATAAAGCCTACATATGAAGCAAATACACATAATGATTTAAGTTGTCCCTTTATGTCATTTGTCACCCAGCTGCATCTGCTCTTACACCTGTGCTCCCTTCCTTGATCTATCTTGATACCCTGGAAATGTTAGGCCTGCAGCCAATTTCATACCCAGTCATTTCTATGGTCAGACCCAGCTATCAGCTTGCTCTTTTCTTATATTAAATCAAGTATCAACCCCAGGGCTCTGAACTACTTCTGACTGACAGGACCAACAGAAAGTTCTAGGATAATTACTTCTTAGGACTAGTTCCCAGTGCAAAGAGTTACTACTGACCTACTTTGGACTTACTGAAATAATTTATCAGGTAAGATAATTAAGGGAATATAAAGCTGTTTCTAAAACCAAGCAAGTATCAGAAATATATGTTGAAATCATAAGTTAGTATTCCCAGTACTATCAGATGGGGCTTTATTACTTTGCTATGAGTCAAATTTATTATGTTTGGCTTAGAAGCCCTTCTTTTTCTTTATAAATTATACTTGGCAGGAGGTATCTGAGAGTCTCTTTGATGTATAAATATATTAGTTTTGACCTTTTTTCAGTCTAGATATAAAGAGAAACTGTCTTTTAAGCCCTTCTTTTCTTTGCCTTTTAACCCTTTCCCCATAAATAGGCATGCATATCCCTTTGCACTGGTGTTCCAATTATTTTCGAGGTCCATCCTAAATAAAGAGATGCCTTGATATGAGAGTGGATATATCTGTGGTGTGGACCACTCACCATGTGGACTTTTAACCCTCTTTTGAAAGCATGATCCTTTCCTACACATAGGTAGATATCTATAACTGAAGAATCTTTTGTAGCAATGGTCTTTCTTTCCTTTTGAGAAAATCTGACCAGTTTCTTATTTCTACAGCCTTGATGTTCTCCATAAGAAGAAGAAAAATGCACGAGAAAAACCTTGAAAGGAAATCATAGCACATAAGGGAGGAGCTTGTATAAGCTTATAAACCATCTGTTTTTCTCAAAATAAAGGCATTAAATTTTACATTATTAGTATCATGGTTTATCAATGTCATCCTCTATTATTTTTTCTCCTTTTCCTCTACTCTCCTTACCCTTCTCCCTTTTATTGTTTTTTCTTTCCCGTGTCCAATGTACCTTGCTTCTTGACTCAAAAACTCATCTAACTATGGAAACAAGATCAGCTGATTGTGTACTGGCTTTTTAATTCTAACAGAGGTTTACCTTCATCTAGAAAATACCTGAACATCTTTGAATAGCTAGATTTACCCCTTGTGGTAAAATGTAAAGTATTAATTTCTTAGGCTAGGGTTAAAGAAAAATCAGGAATCAATCTTTTACATTTGTTTCAATATTGCAGTTACAATAGTAACATTATTTCTCAGTACTACTTATCCACATCTTGTTATTATTTCATAATGTATGGTTGAGGAACTTGTATGCATAAAATTGTAGTTTAGTTAATGTCAAGGGAAAAAAATAAAACTAAACACTGACTTATACTCTTTGTTCCCACATAGCAAATGCAGTATTTTATGTTTGTGAGAGGACCTGGCCATGGTTTCATCTGGAATCAATAGCACATCAAGCTCCCCTGATTCAGTTGACTAGTACTAGAGTCAGATCCCTCCCCTATTGCTTCTTATCTTACTTTATAGCCTCTTTCATTCCATGACTATTTAATTTCATTTATTGCTTTATTCTTGTGTCCTTCAGCTGTTTCCAGTCTGCCCTTCATGGCCATAACTAAATACAGTGTGTAAACATGCAAAGGTATTTATGTAAATGAAAATCAATATGCTTATCATTTCAGCACCATTCCTTCTTGCTTACATTGGACATTTTAAGTACATTTTATTTGAACGCTAACAACTTTTCATTCTTGCCTGGGAAGTATAATGATCTTCTTGGCTCCCTGCCCCCTGCATCCCTCTAATCTTCACAGCTATGGCCACTTAGCCTCATCTGGAGGCTCAGCCTTATTCTGCATTTTGGAACTAATCTTGTCTCTAGGCTGGGGGCATACAAGATGTCCTAGCCAAAAGCTAACGGATTCAGCAACCAGTCATCCTTGCTGCTGGCTTCATTCTGACCTTGTAATTTATTTCTGAGATCTAGGGGCTTGTCCCAGCCTTCTGTAGCCAAGGCTTGGCTTTGTACACCAGTTCTGGTAGGTGGGTATCTATCCAGTATCTGCCCCTGATTAGCTTTCCAATTCCTTGATGACTGAGGTTCTGCCTTATCCTTCTCCTTGCTCCCTTTGTAACCAAATTTCTTTTCCTAACTCCAGTACCCACGTCTGTTGAACCTTTCTGATGCCACTTACCTTGCCCAAGTCTCCTTATCCTGTATACCAGAGATCTGAACTTTTGCTAGAATACCAGGAGTGACACTGCTTGCCCGAACATTTTCCCATTGCCTGCTGCAAGCTTCTCTCTTGTCACCAGCTCTAACCCTGCAGGTCTTCAGTCACTGGATCTAAGCTGCCTGCAATCTGGCCATCTCATTTTTCCAGACATGACAGGAAAGAAATACTTTAATTGCATCTTTGGTTGAATTGTTATGCTAACATCCTCTAGTTACTTTCACCTCATATCTTCATCTTGGCCCTGCCACTTAAACATTTTAAAACTCAGTTTCCTCCTTGTAAAGTGATCATAATAGAATCTACTCTAGGGTATTTTGAAGATAACTGAGGGAAAAAAAAGAATGCATACAAATAGACTAAGCTCATAGTAAGAAATCAGTCATTTTTATCTGCTATTATTGTCTCATTCCTTAAATCTTTGCAGTTGTAAAGTGAAACCATGTCACTTAAAGGTGATCATTAAAGAGTGGGGAATGGAAAATTCTTAAGAAAAAATTAGGGACCCATGTGAATTTTTAAAAAGTAAAATAGCTGACAGCAAGAAAATTTACAGCATTAAAAATAAAGTTGAGCTACAGATGTAGTCATCAGCAAACATTAAAACAAGATATTTTAAGGATACATTTCTTATCAATGTGTCTTAATATATAATGACTATGACTATACAGAGCCTTAAAGCATTTAGGGAGGAGAAAGATTCTCTGAGTCAGTCATTTATCTTAGAGCAGTATTTATACAACCATCTGGGGGAGTTTTAGACAAGTAAAGTTTTAAGCCCCACTTCTCTGAAATTCTGATTCATTAATTTTGACATGGAACTAAAGAATCGATGTGTTTTAAAAATTCCCAGCCAGGTTTGGGAACCATAAAGTTCATCAGCCATTAAGAGTCCAGGAGGTTCCTAAGAAAACATATGTCTGTTTACCTCAAGATGGTCAAACCAGTGCATACACTCCCTGACTTGACTCCTAGCTGACCATTGGTTAGAAATGTTTAACAGGTATGGAAATCCTACTGATATCTGCTTTTATTAATGGGTGGCTAGTTCACGTGGCTAGTCAATAGCAGTGTTTATTGTAAGTACTTAGTTAATTTACCCTAAGAATCTCAGTTTGCTCAGTTGGAATCCTCAATTTAATCTACATTCAAAAATATTCTAAAATGTTTTAAGTGCAGACTGTTTCATTCTTGCCAAAATTATCTTGCCTTAATTTTTTCTTTCTGTTTCTTAGATGAATTGCCCCCTCCACCCACAAAAGTTTGATGAAAATGATTGTGTTTTTCCTTCAACTTTACTGAGATATAATTGGCATATAACTTTGCATAAGTTTAAGGTGTACAACATGTTTGATACACTTATATATTGCAATGTGGTCACCACCATAGTGTTAGCTAACACCTCCATCGCCTCACGTAATTACGAATATTTTGTGTGTGTGGTGAGAACATTTAAGATTTACTCCCTTACCCACTTTGATCAAAATGATTGTTAACTGCTCTAGGCAAACACAGTCTGCATATTGAAAAAAAAAAAGAAAGGACACCTGGTTGTTTTTCTGAAGTTATGTGTGTAAAAGAAAAAGAGAAAGAAAGAGAGTCTGCCTCTTTCCACTGTCATGCCATACAAAGACCTTTGGGTTGCTCACTTTACGTATGAGATCAGGGTAGGACCAATACACGTGGCCGCCCTAGAAGACTAACATTTTGGGACCCATTCAAAATAATGAATATTATACATAATCTGTTCAGCATATCTTTACAGGAGAAGCTGAGTATTGCTTGGGTGAAGGGAGAAGTTGATCCTATGGGGTGGCTCAAAGATTATTCCTTGCCCTACCATCTCCCTAATTCAGCTATGAGAGTGCCTATGCATACCCTTTAAGTAAAATCTGTGCAGTTGCCCAGATCCACCATTTTAGGAGCAACTATCCATTGTTTCTTGACCATGCTTTTTGAGAGATGTTCTGATACGTACAGTTTTTCTCTCCATCTCTTAACATGACAGTATTTGGGGGTCTTGGTGATATCTTATTGTAACCTTATCAAGTAATGCCCTGGGCAGTTGCTTGGCTGACCCAACTTTTAGTTCAGCTTCAGAAAGTCCTTTCTGTTATTGTAGCCCTCATTTTTTACCCCCATGAGAACTGGATTAAAAAAAAAAACATAAAAAAAAACTGCTGAAAATGTCTTCTTTTAGGAAATAATTGATCAAGTAAAAAGAAATTAATTATTGTCATTATTTTCTTTAAAAGAATAAAATAGCACATTACCAGACATCCTCAGCGTCTTCATCACATTCTGCACCAAACTGGCAAATATCACAGGTGGATGTCTCCTTTTGACTGGTTTCTCCTGAGCCTTCATGGACTATAGGACAGAAGAAAGGGAACAAAAAGAATTCAGATAAGTGTGCACAATACCAACAACTTCAAGACTATTCTGTATGAAACCTGCTACTTTTCCAATGGAGCTATTGGAGCTCCATTAAGATCGTCATATTCGGCTCCCTTCTTCCCTAAATTTGAAGAAAATTAACAATAATATGCTAGCCATTGGTATGTGGTGAATAATTCTTTTTACAAGAAAAATAAACGAGAATACTGGATTTATCAAAATTGTTTGGCTAATAGACCATATGAAAGTTACTTAATTAAAAGGGATTTAGATTGTTACTTGCCTAGAGGAAAAACCTAGTGTCTATAAAAAAATACTTGACATTTTCTCATTCTTAAATTATAGATATTTTTTCATTCAAAGGCTTTAATACATAATTTAAAAATTTAGATGGGCAGCCTTGACTTTTTAGATACGTCTTTTCCCCGCCTCAAGGTGCTAAGTACTTATACGGAAAAATATATTAATTATGTTTTCAGAAAACATCTTTTAATTGGTTTTTACAGTAATTTCTTGAATTGTACATAAATGTTGCACAGAGCTCATCATAGTGATTTCTTCTATGAGGGTTATGAACATATATTTCATTTAAAAAATATATACTGTCGCTGATGATGATTATTGATATTGGTCCTTTTTATACACATAAATTACAAGTGTAAAAATATACTATATACAACCTAACTATAAAATTAAGCTTTCAAATCAGGAAAGAATAGTGTAAGTCAAGAAAAAAATTTTAGTATGTGAGTTCAAGAAATAAAAATCTGAGCAACACTTTTGAGATGATGGATTACTGTTTACCCAATTAAAAAAATATGTAGTTGAAAGCAAAAATAGTTTTGCTTATAGATGAAAAATTGCAACAACCTAAGTACTGCATAGATAACCTTATTGCATGGACATCTTATATACTAAAAACATGTGTTTAAATCAAGAGATCCTTAAAACGTACACTCTGCAAAAGGTTATACATTTTCAGTAGAAAAAGAACAGAGGCAATTAAGTATGGCATTGGCTCCTAGCATTATGAAGCCTAATAAGATAACGTTTTTAACAAAACATCATTGATTAACATGCACCCTAAACCTAAGAAATTTAACCTTACTTATTTTATTTTAATATGATATTTTTCATAATTTGTTCTTTGTCTATTAACATGAGAATTATTAATATTTACAAAAGCAAAGGTCTTTATTCCTTGATTTTCCAATTTACTGCTGTGCAAATGAGTGATCTGATTTACCAGAGAAAACAAAAAGAACAAGAAGACATCTCTAAGAGAGTTCTCTATTTTATAGTTTTTCCAGGAAAGACAGAGAGATTTATTTTTTCCAAAGCAACATTTTTTCCCCTGTACTTGATTTGCCCTGCACTTTTAAAAAGTTATGAATTAAACAGATCAACTTCAATTGCAAAAGTATTGATGGTATAGTTTTAAAATTGGAAGTCTAAAAAAATGGTGTTCCTCCCCAGAAAGAAGAAGGAATTTTAGACTCTGCTAAAATAGACAGCACTTCTTATCCACTCTATTATTTTAATACAGGCAAGACCATTAGAGTGGACTATGGGATAAGAAGGAAGCTGGGGACCTAACCTCAGGGGGTACTGAACAGCTGAGGTCCATCTCTTTATCACTTTCTTACTATTAATGCAACACAGAAGCTGTTAATGGGAGAGAGAGCCTTTTAGTGTTAGCAAGATTAGCAGCTTCTAGACTAAAGTTTCCCATCACTCAGGAAACATACTAACACAACGGGAAGGTCCTTAATGAACAGTTATAGCCATTTATGGGTAGCCCTATCTTCTTTCGCAGCAGGGATCCTTGGTTAGGGATCTACTGGAAGTAATCCAGGGGATGAATCGTGCTACCTCAGCAAAACTAACAATAATAATTCTACTGGAAGTCACATTACATTTCTATAAAAGGGCAGTTATTGGTAGACTCGAGATGTTTGGAAATTCTCCCACATGGAGAAGTAAACCCAGAAGTAGCAGTAGCAAAACCTCTATCAATAAACGTTCTGGGAATAAAATGTGAAGCAATCACAGTGAAAAATAAAGTAAAATCTTTCCATATTTCCTGAAGCACAGATCTGCACCTTTGTAATAAACAAACAGATTAGTACACTGCTTCATTTAACACTATAGACCAAGATTCTTAAATAGGAGTGGGCTCGGAAGCTCTGGTAGATTTGGTTCGTTCATTTATGTATTGTTTTTTAGATAAATGCCCTGAGATATCCTAGGAGGTACTGAATTTGTAGGCTCGAGGCTTGGATATGTATACTTTAAAAAACACATCCCTAAGAATATCTGCCCTAAACAATACTGAAAAGACTTCCTCTGGCCCAAACGTCTTCCTCATGCAGTGAATGTCTAGCACAGGACTTCTGTCACTTTAAAGTGCACAGGAAGCACCTGGAGGTTTTGTTAAAATGAAGATTCTGATTCAGTAAGTGTGAGGTGTAACTGATGCTGCTGGTCCACAGACCACATTTTGACTAGCAAGGTTAGCACTGCATTTTTCCCATCACAATTCACAATTTATTAGTGGGTAGTGCAATGGAGTCAGTGGGTCACTATCAGCATTTTTGTAAACATTTTTGTGTACATGAAGCAGAATATACTGGAATAGAAAACACAGAGTGCATCTTATTTAGCAAGCATAGGTTTTATTTTATAACACTGTTTTAGTTATACATATGTACATCCATCCAGCACTGCAATGTAAATTTCATTTCTTACTAAAGGTCACAGTCACAAAAGCTTGAACACTATTGATTTAGCACATGCTAGATGCTCAGAAAGTATGTGTTGAACAGGAGTGTTCCTTTTTCCTGTTCTTTTTACAGTATCAGAAACAGGAAGGATCGGTGCTTATTTGCATTCATCCGCTGATTATGCAGGAATGAAATTCATTTATCCTAAAGTATTATTTTAACCATGCACTTGCATTTTAAGCCTTTTATTTTGAGTTGTAAAGTAAAAAAGAATTATTTCCCTCTATTCTAAAACAACAGGTTTCAGCGTGTGACTAAGGGAAATTTGAGGAGCAAGGGAGGCAGAGCTCCTGAAAGCATATTATACCTAATATGCTACCCTACAGTTAAAACTGATTTAATTAATTCCTTTAAGAAGATTCTGGATTGGAGCATTATAAGAGATGATCAAATTGCCTCTCTCTCAAACTCTCCCTTCCCTCGTGGCTTCATCCGGAAAATTGTTACGAAAATTCCCTTATCATGACCTTGTTCTGGCCCAAATCAGTGGGTGTGCCCACCCACTGGGCCCAGTTCTCTTCCTAACTCACTATAATGCCTCCTGGGCCTCTTATAATATTCCTAACCTATGTTATACTATTTCTGAAAACATGATGAAATAATATAATGTTCAAACACACAGTTATTCAATGTCATTTATTTGGTTCAAAATTTCACTAAAATTTACATTCAGTGAAATGCTCATATCTTTCAGTCAATTTTGAGGAACGCATGCCAAGACAAAGAACAACTCCATCATTCCAGAAAGTTTGCTTCTGCCTTTCTCAGCCGTTTCCCTACCACTACTATGTCTCTACATATAGGCTGGTCAGTAATCCGATCTGTCACCACAGATGGACTATTTTAGAATATTACATCAATGGAATCATACAATATGTAATTATTGTGTTCAACTCCTTCCACTTAGCATCATAGTTTTTAAGATGAATTCAGGTAGTTGCCTGTGTCAGTAGTTTATTTCTTTTTATTGCTTGGTATTCAATTGAGTGAATATACCACAGCTTATTTTTCCATTATCTTGTTGAAGTACATCTTGTTGTTTCCAGTTACTGTCTGGAAACAATAACTGAATATTTATGAATAAAGCTGTTGTAAATAGTCTTGTAAAAGACTTTTTGGGCACACAAGTTATTTCTCTTCGACAAATACCTCACAGTGGGATTATGGTATTCAGATAGCCACACCAGCTTTATTTGCTTATTGTTTCTGTCTTTTTTACTTTCAACCTGCTTCTTAACTTATGTCTAAAGTGTGTTTCTTGTAAACAATATATAGTGGAATGTCACTTTTTTTATCTAGTCTGAATCTGTCTGCATTTAATCAGGGTATTTAGTCCATTTACTTTAATGTAATTATTGATATGTTTGCTTTTTAAGTCTCCCAACTTGGTGTTTGATTCATTTTTTAAAAAAATTCTTGAGTTACAGAAATTTTTAATATATTTTAGGTACAAATTTTTGTCAGATACATGTATTGGGATATATTTTCTCAGTCTATTTTCTTGAACTTTTTTTTTTTTTTGTAGATGTGCAGAAATTTTTATTTTGATGAAATCAATTTTTTTCTTTTATGATTTGTCATTTCTAAGAAGTCTTCTACTTGAAGCTCATGAAGATATTCTTCTGTGCTTTATTCTATTCCCCATTTTTATTAATTTTTAAAATTTTACTTTAATTTAAGTTTATGGTCTATCTAAAATTGGATTTTGTGCATAATGTGAAGTAGAGGTTGGGCTTCTTTGTTTTTACCACGTGGACATGATTTCTCTCTCTTGACCTGTCAGTGTGGTGAGATATGTTGATTGATTTCCATATGTTAAGCCAACCTCACATTTTGGGGATAAGTCAAACTTGATCACGGTATATAACCTTTTTTATATATAGCTGGATTTCTTTTGCTAGTATTTTGGTAAGTATTTTTGTGTCTATGGTTCACAAGATATGCTGGCTGTAATTTTCTTGTATTGTTCTTATTTTGTTTTATTATTATGGTTAAAATGGCCTCATGATATGAGTTGAGAAGTGTTCCTACTTCCTCTATTTTATGAAAGAGTTTGTGGAGGATTGGTACTATTATTTCATTTCTTTATACAAGGCTATTTAAATTTTCTATTTTATTGCTTCCTACTCTTACTATTTCCTTTATGTTATATACTTAGAGTTTATTTTCTAGTTTCTTAAAATGGAAGAA